AATTTGTCAACAATAAACAGTAAGTATGTTTACTTTTCACTTGATGATCTTCAAAGACTGAATTTTATTTGTTTCTTAACCAATTGTTTAGGAACTATTTTTTTTTTTAGTGTAATTGTTTGAGTGTTCATGTCAGTTTATGTGTATTTTGATTAATTTTTTTTTCGGTCTGGTGAAAAATATGTCATTCACATCAAGACTAATGTATTTATGAGGGATACATTCCTCATAACCTAACTCTAAGAAATTGTCAAAATTTAAACTCAGTAGATTTAAGAGCTATTTTGTAAGGTATAGCTCCCAAACACAAAATGTAGGACCTAGCCAAAACTAATATCTAAAGATAATAAAGGGGTCAACATCTAATATGGTCGTAACCATACTAATAGAGTTGATCATCCTTAATATTCTCAAAAATCTTCTAACCAAAAAGTCAAGTAATCAATCTATACTAGTCTAAAATGTCAAGATAAAAGAAAAACTTTTGATTATCTAAAATATCCTTATAATATATGAAAATGACATTAACATCTTTTTAATCAATTAAATGTTCAACATTGACTTAAACCTCTTTAACTTCCATTTTCTTAAACAATTGTTACCCTCGAAAAAGAAACGACTTATGTGACCAACTGCCTTTTCATCTTCTAATTTGTAAGCAATGGCCCCTCATACAATCAATTAATTGTTAATTAATATTATTATTAATATGGAAAATATTATGTATCTCTAATTTGTAACTCAAATTTGCATCCCAAATGAAAAGAACCATTGAACGAGTGGGTCTCATCATTTTTTAAAATGGGACCCATTGATTCAATGATCATCTTTCATTTGAAATGCAAATTTAAATTATAGATTTGTGATATATAGCATTGCTCTATTAATATTGAGTCAGATAGTTCCTTCTCTTTCTATGTTTTTAAGTCCAATAGTGTTTCTCATTCCTAATACTAGCTACTACATTTCTACCTCTATATAATACATACATACATACATGGTACGTATATGTGATGCTAATGTAGGTCTGTTTTTGTCTTTGGGTGAGCAAAATGTTCCTCGTACTAGGATAATGCTCCGACACCAATGCTTGAAGGTAATTACTTTTTTCAACTTTTCAAGTAAATTTGTTGTTTGTTGTACTTGTATTCGTGTTATAATTTGAAATTTGGAGTTTTTTTTTGTTTGGATATTAAACACAATAGGTAATGTCGTAGTGGATATGACAGGGCAACCCAAGAAAGTCGATGAAGTGCAGACAATTTTTATGCTCTCAATAGAGTTGGAAGCTATTGAGGTTTTCATGGTATGTGTTACTTTAACTATGAATAGTATTTTTTAAAATGCAATTTGGTACGAAAACAAAGTGATTGTGTTCATTAAATATAATTTGTTTATGTTTGTAGCAACTAAATGGTGCTAAAACCTATAGAGGAGCTTACCAATGGACCATTTCTCTATCATTTGGCTCGACATTATATACTTAATACTCAATTCTTTCTTTATTTCTTCTATGCGAGATTGTAATAGCCTAGTATGTTACTTTCTATATTTATCATATAATGGTAATTTACATATAGGTCGACAGTTTCCACTAAGTAATAGACGTTGTGAATTCTCCAATTCATATATGCTTAAATTAAAGAAATGAAAAGTTAGATTAGGATCAACATTATGAAAATATGATTTAGATGAACTTATACTCTTAGGAAGAGTTCCTTACAAAGGCAACCCTGATAAAAGGTCTGATCAAGTTGATCATGTGCATGGGAGAGGCATTGGCAACCATATCCTTTAAAGTGGAAAATATTTCATTATGTGAATGTTTTGGAGATGGATGCAGTTCTTCACACACTCACTAGCAAGCATTTCTTTGAGGTCAGACTTCAACTTACGAATCTTTCTTTCACACAAAAGGGCAAAGTACTTATCTAGAACAGCTAACAACACTTTGGAGCAACATTTGCTTCCATGAATTCATATAAATCTTGATTATGTGCTTTCAAGTGGGCTAAAGAAGTACAAAAATGAGACATTGTATCCTTAAAACGATATCAAATAGTCTATTTTCATATTTTTCATAAAAAGCAAGGTCTACAAACTTTAATGAACAATCTACAGTTGTCACACACTTGCTAAAATCTATAATCTATCATTAAGCCTTCATTCTGATCAAAAAATAAAATAAAAATTAAGTCTTCATTAGGTGCCCCCCTTACAATAATTCACATACATTGCATAACTGAGACTTTAATTGACTATTTTATGTGGCTCCAATATGACCAATTTTTTTTGGAATATACAGATCATTGTCAAAAAGGAAAGTATCTTACCAAATGTGATTTCACCATCCTCTAAACCCAAGCTAAGACTATTATTTGAGGTTGTTTTTTTAGGATTTTTAATTGAGAAAACTGGGGTCCACCATGGCAATGGCAAACGGCCTCAGCTAGATATTTGTGATTAATGAACTTGATAGGACTCAAGTAGGTAATATCCAAGAACGAGATTATTCGATTATGAATAAACACTATATGGCTTTTTCGAGCTCAAAATGTGCTTAAGCTATACATCATTGTAATCATGACCATCAATGTGCTATATAAATGTTAAAATTACATGGACAATTAGGCTACATTTATAAAAGTTGAATTTGTTTTCAGCCTTTTTTGTTTTAAAATGAAGATATCGGTCTAATTAGAGTTTATCTTAGATTTATTATTATAATTCACTACAAGTGTGTGTTCATATGTACAAGGAAGTTTGGGTTAGGTGAGTATAAGAATGTTCATACACCATTAGTCAATATTCTACTCAAAAAACTAAGAAACTTAACTAGGATTGAATCAGAAGACAGATCTCACTATCAAGCGGCAACTATGTAGTCTATGCTCCTACGCTACTCATGACAAACATGCCAAAATTTACATTGCCAATGTTTAGGTTACTATCGCATTTCAATAACCATGCCTTCTTATAAGCAATAATCATGCTTGCTAGAGTACACCCATGGGTGAACTTGCGAGTAACCCACTAGGTGCAAAAGGAAAATGGGTTTATCATTCAATCTCGGACAGTGTGTACCATTTGATCCAAACAAGAAAACCAAGAAGTTTATGTAAGCCAAGGATTTCATTAATTTTATCTAGGAACTACCCTGGCCAAATAACGAGTTAGACTATGGTATAGCCAAACACAACGTTACACATATAAAATTTTATTATTTTATTTTAACACTTTGTTTAATTATTTTCAAGATCATTATTTACAAATAAATCAAAAGTAAGGTCTACAAGAGAGAATCATTATTCGGTATGATACTGAAAAATTTAAATTTTGGTATGACCCCAAATAACTCAAAGAAAAAAAAATATATGGGATGAATGTTTCATATATGTATTTATTTATGATGGTTGATGCTATTTCTAGACTCTACTGTTTTAGAGTCTTTTATGATATATGATGATCTGAGGCTTTTCCACTGTGTACAATCTTGGACATACACTATTGTTTTCACTCCTAGCCCTTCATGTACTAAGTAGCTTAAAAAAATATCATCTTTTGTTGGTTTTTTTTTTCATGTTTTAGTAAAGAACTCTTTTGCAGAGATAATGTCACCAACTAACATAGAAGGGCTTTCAGACAGTTCTCAAAGTTTGTGTTGGCTCATTGTTAATTTTTTTTACTATATCAACATATGAATGAAAAATAAGTAAACAAATTAAAGTTTTGGTACTTAATAAAAGGAAACTTGTGCATTGTTTGGTTTTCTTTGACCTTTGGAAATGCCTTCGGTAAACAATAATTTGTCGTATTTATATAATGTTGAAGCAACAGAAGGACAGATTAAGTCGCACTCTACATGCATGGTGTAAAATATCAGAATAAATTTATGGGGAACTATACAAGGGATTAACAATGTTTGATCATTGGCTAAAATGTCATCTCAGTATACTTTAATATAGATATATCAATGTCTCAAAAAAAATTATAAAAAATAATTCATGTACAACGCACGTGTGCATCAACTAGTTATTCATAAAAATAAAGATGGATTGACATCTTATATCTTTCATTTTCGGTATTTATTGTGCATTAAATACTATAGATTATGCTTAAAAATACCTAAAAGAGTAGTTTGCAAATAGGCTAACAAAATGGAAAAAGATTTACCCAAAAAAAATGGAAAATGATATTTATATCTAATTTAGAAATTTAATTTAGGCACCTAGTCAGGTACGAGTTATAAATGTTGGATTAAATATGTGGTCCATCTAATATTGAAATTTAGAGCAAGACTACTCCCAATATTTTGATTGTGCGTTCATGTGGCACCAATTTTATTTAAAAGGACACCATAATGATTAATAATAGATGATCTATCAAAAAAAAAAAATTAAAAAAAAATCTTGATCCTACCTAATCTAACAACTATAATGCATTAAGTCACTGATTACTTCCTAAATCATCAACCAAAATTTAGTGATAGTAGGACTTTGGAATAATTAATGATGTAAAATTGTTGATTATGATAAAATTTTTTGGGCCAGACACTATTAAAGAGAGAAAAAAACATTGATTGACCGTGCGAATTTAAAGTTCAATTCGGTGATTCGTGCTTGAAAATACGATGTAATATAAATTAATCAGTCAATTCGAAGAAGTGAGAAGTGAACATCTCAGAAAAAGTGAAGAGTAAGGAGAGAAAAATAAAATTTTATGTGAATAATTTTGAAAAGAATGTTAATGATCGTTACGTAAATTTATTTGAGATTATCAGATAAATTTATTTAAATCCGAACTATTTTAGATTTTACATTACGTAGATAACAGAGATGATAGTTATTAGACAGGCTGCTGTCCTTGATTATGATAGATTCTAATTACGAATAAAATATAATATCTGTTAATTCATTCATAAATGAAAAGGACAGTTTGATTCCAGATTTCAAGTAAACTTTGCAAACCTCAACGAAAGGCCATTACAGCAGTCAGTAGTAAACTAACTCACCCACCAAAAGTTTCCTGGAAAAAGCCCCCAAAAGCTCTCAAAAAAATCACACACACAGACACACACACATTTCCCAAACACAGACAAAAGTCTCAGTAATGGCAACACAAGAACAAGAACAAGAACAACCCACCATAGCTCCTCGACCTTTAGAACCCACCTCAACCCAAGACTGCGAGAAGCTACTGACCTCGTACTTGGGTCTCAGCTTCACAATCTTTCTTGGGTTTCTTCCAAAATCATCAATCTCACTGGTCTCCACCCTCCAAACTAGCAACAAAGACCTCTCTGTAAAGCTCTTCCAAGCTGAAGAACAGCTCAAACAGCTTCACTCTAGAAGGAAAGAGGACTCCAAGGCTAATGCGAGAGTTGTTGAGATATTCGCGAGCCACAGGCACGCCTGGCAGCAAGAGGAAAAGAGACTTCTACAAGAGATCGATGCGAGTGCTGAGGAAATTGCACGTTTGAGGGCAACACTGGAGGATTACGAGAAATTACAGGTTGAATTGAAGACTAACGTCGAAGAATTGAAGAGAGAGGTCAGGGAAAGGGACGAGATGTTGAATTATATGGCAATGAAGTCGACGGAATTAAATGGTTCTGAGAGCAATCTTGGTGTTTCAGATTGTTATGAGGAATTGGGTTCGAGGTTCGGGAAAGTTAGAGTTTCGGAGGGGATGGATTTGGGGAAGGAGCAGTTTTTCTTGGAGAGAGAGGGACTCAATGTGGATGAAATGGGTGGTGTATACGGACAGCGTAATGGGTTCAATCCAGAGTTCTTCAACTCAGCTTCGAAATTTTGGGCTGAAAAAACTAGTCTATGGCAGGTTTGATTTTTTCTTTGTTTGATTATTTGTTTTTGGTGGTGAAAGTAGATTTTAACAATGATTGACTTGCTTTTTAGATACTGAAGTTGAAGAAGATTTAATCAATTTTTTGGGTATTACTGGTTGAATCAATACATGTATTAATGGATGAGATTTTTCTTTGTTTGGTTGCTGAGAAAGGAAAGGAAGATATAGATAAAATTTTTGGTTTCTTGTTCAATAATGAACAGGAAGTATTTAGGAACATCTCAGTTTCAACTTAAATGATTCGATAAAGGCTTAAATAGAAGGACTAAATTATAGCTGATGATCTATGTTTATTGCTGTTGTGTCGTTGAACTTTACATAATTTTGCATGCTGTATAGTTTGAAATTCTATTGTTGAAGAACATTTGTTGTAAAGTTAATCAAGGAAGACTAATTTGCGCTGAAATTCAAATTGAAATCTTTGTTAATCTTACATTCTGAGTCCCAATAAATGATATTTGTGATGGAGTGTGAACCATCACTCCTTGTGTGTCTGGTCCTTTGTCCTTTCATGGTTGGAATCTTTGTCCTTATGCACCCATCCATAGCTTGAAATATCGTCCCAAATGCTGAATAGATCACTTGATTTCAGTGCATTTTGTTGTTTTTTGTTGTACTTCTGCATTCTGCATATGTTTGGACCACCATTTCAAAGGTATCATATTTAAGGGTGGTTCTTATATTTTTTTTATCCAGCTGCCATTGTAGGTATTTGTACTTAACTAGAACTGTTTTATGGAAAACTTAATTCGGAGGTTTGGAGAATGCGGATACATTATCTTCCGCATCTTCCCTTCCTCTGCTAAAACCCAAGTTGCGTGCTGGTGAGGGCAACCAATATTGGATTCTTTCCATCTGGTGGAATCAAACATCTAGTAGATGTGTTGTTTCAATCTATTCTATGGACCATCTCAGTGTATCAATGTTTTTTCCCCTTCTTGCTCCTGTGTCATTTCTTTGCATCTTTGGTTTTTTGTTTCTTCAATCTTCTTTTTCTCTGCTGTCAAACATCACATCTTGTGGCTCTTGCTGAAAAGATGTCATCTTTTTGCTATGCGACAGTGGACTCTTCTGCTGGAACTTGTCCATTGGAAGAGGATAAGATAGTGAGACATGCCTTTTTAGGCCTTAAAACTCAACTACCACTTTTTGAAGAAGTCAATTATATATGTATTCTTCATAAATTTGATGCATGTAAAATTTGGTTGTCTTTTATTAGTAGTAAGAGATGACATGTCAGGAAGTTGGAATTGATTGACGTATGAAATCTCTGTCATGGAATCTATTCTTTTTTGTTGGGGGTCCAGTGGAGGGCTAAAACTTAAGCATTCCTCAACTCTTTCCTTTCTTAGATTACCAATTTGGTGGAAGTTTTTCTTTGGTACTCATAAAACACCGTCTAATATGTCAAATGCCATTTTATGGTTGGAGTTATTTCCAACTATCTGTTGATTTTAAATATTGATTGTTGCAGGATGTACAGTATGAATCCCTTGAACCATTGCATCAGTTAAAACATTTTGTTCCAAGGTAAATTTTTACGATCTAATTCCAAATCTTTCTGAAAGAATGCATGGAAACTGATGCCGCAGCAACTCTTGTTTCTTGTCCAGAAGGGAGTCCCCTTGGAAGGTAGATGGTGAATCAACCGGAGTCTCCTCTAAATTAAAATTACTTGAACAGGAACTGCTGAATTTGGAAAGAGTTGGTAAGAGTGATCTATCAAAGGTACCATCACTGATGCGAAAGCAGGCAAAGAGATATCAAGCTCTTGCTGGGAAGATTGATAATCTGTGCAGATCAATGGTAATGCATTGCCTCTCTTTTATTGTTTTTAGTTTTATTATGAAATCTACTTAGATATTATTGTTCTTTTCAACTCTCGAAGCCTTAGCAATAAAAAAATATTCTAAGCACTACAAATAAAAAATTGTTAGTCCATATCTGAAGGCAGCTATTTAGATACGGAGAATATGTAACATCATATGCAAATATTCATAATTTGGGATTCTGAGAGGACACTACCTCGCAAAAAGTCCTGTGAACAGAAGTTATGTAAATTATCACTCAGGATGATGCTGATGAAATCATGTAATTTCAACATGAACAACTGCTGTTAGCCAAAACCTATTGATTCAGTCCAAATAAAGGAGAGCGTAAAATACTGATTGAAAACTGGCAATGAGTGGTTCTAGAAACTATCCTGACCATATTGCTAACAAATTTCGAAAACATTTTCAAAAACATTTGGAAGTATTGATTTATGTGTTTAGATTTACCGGCTGATTCTCTAGATTGAATAATTGTTGGTAGTACGTGCAATATATCTTTTATGCTTGTTCAGGATTATGCAGTGATGGTGAATATATTTTTTCCCCATCAAAGAATGAAAAAATTTCATGGTTTTATACAGACCATTTATCAAGGGGATCCTCCATGCATCTATAAAATTACCTATTTAATATTCTCCGACCCCTTTGGCAATGTAATGATGGAGAAATCTTTGTTGAATATCCTTAAACAGTAGATGATAGAACTGTCATTGTGAATCAGAGTTATATATCTAATTTGCAACTTGAGAACTCTTCCCCATTCTCTTTCCGGGTATATGTGTGTGTCACCGCAACAAAGCAACATAATAACGTGATATGTTGTTCCTTTACTTTTGATCTTAGAATTTCTTATATATATATCGCAGCAAAGAACGTCGCAGTGATCAATTTTTTTTTTTTTTGCTTTTTACAGCAGACAAGTGATCCATGTGAGCCCACCCTCAGTTCAGAGTTTCGGACACAAAGGCAAACAGATTTTTTGCTTGAAGCATTTCGACTCCAGCAACGTGCAGCTGAAACTGGACAGAAACTGATGGCATTACAAACCGAGACGGGGAAGAGTTATTTTGGGGATGAACTTGAAGGGCAAGCCAAATTAGCCACAAGGCGGTCCTTCGACTCAATTAGGAACAACTTCAAAGAAATCCAGAGAAACTTGGAGATATGGTTGGCCAGAATTATTGGAGATCTTGAAGGGATTCTATCTAGAGATGGTGCTTCACGTGCAAGGGATTATTACATTTCAAGATATCCTTTTGTTCAATAGAAACATCCTGGTTAGTACCATGAAATATTGATCCAACATATATATTTATATATATATAATACCTTTTCTGGTAGTTGCTGATCTGCTCCTCTAAAAGTGATTGTTAGATCGTTTGCAGAAATGGAATAATTTTACTGTCATAGAGAAGTCACATAACAATAAGGAAGAGTTAGAATGGGGGAAAGAGTAAAGGAAGCATTACGCAAGGTTATGTTTTTGGTACTGAACCGAAAATTACTACAAAATAATGGTGAGCTTACAACTTAATCTTATGAGGTTACGATGAAATGAAATCATTCGTGACTGATCTTAACTGTTTTTAGCAATAACATAACCTTTTGGGTTTTGTAATTTGACAAATATTGTCGTAAACTAACCTTTATTTTATCATAATTTTTAGTACAATATGAAACGAAATATCGTAGTTGTTTCTTTGAATGAAAAGTTGCCTTAGTGATGGATTTATGGCCCATCTGGTAGAATTCTCTCCAACTTCCTTCAATAGTATTGCACAACTTGCGTTTCTGGGGATTATATACTTATCTCTATCTCTTAAAAAATTAGGCCCTTTTGAAGTGGATCGTGGCGTATGGGTTTATAATGTCTAAGGCTATCAACTTGTATGTAAATTGTGCATGTTTGCGTTTAGAAAAAAAGACCACCACCTTGGATAATGGTACTTGGTAATGAAGCCTCCATTTTAGACCATACTGACGTTCATAACAAGTGTAGGAATGACCCATTGGTGTTTGGTGGTGGTGCAGAAAATATCTGCAAGAACAGTTTTTAGGTGTAAATGGATTAATTGTGATGATGGTATTCAGAGCATCTGTTTTGGAGGTGGTTTTAAAAGCTTCTCTGGCTTGAAAATTACAATGAATTTTGATGTTCCGGCCATGCAAGTGGATCATTATAGTCTGTGGGGTCCACCAGAAGATGGCAGTGGATCCCAATCTTGTTTTGCATATTCTTTGTCACTTGTAGATCAATTGTTGCCTGTTAGTGGGGTACTATTTATATATATATATATAATCAGTCTCACTTACCGACAAGCTACGACTTGCCCCACATATATATTAGAGGGATTTGAATCCGTGACAGTTGGGTGCGTGCTCACTGATTTAATGACAATTTGTTGCTCCATCAGAACCTGACCTCTGACAAGTTAGCTTTTCTATTTTGTTATATATACAATCTACAGCCACAAACAACCCAAATAAATATCTACGATTGATGATTACTTTTCAGTATGGTATCGTAATTTATATTTTGGTACCGTAGCTCTGTCCACTGCGGTTGCTGGTGCTAATGTTCGCATCAAGTTCAGGTTAAGGTTCAAGTCCTAATAGTCATCTCATTGTCTGTGTCACTGGGTCCACCATGTGGGAAGATGTTTCCTAGGTAATGGCTATACACATAGCATAACATGTGGTGACAGTGCCCTAGCCACTTCATGTTTGTCGGGAGACACCACACCCCAAATAAAAGTTGATCAAACTGGCATTAAATACGGATTTTTTTTTTTTTTTTTCACATTGTTAGAAGGATATGAACCCTTTAATGAAAACCCAAACCAAGAAAAAAAAAAGTATCTTGACAAGTTGTTTAGCACCATCTCTTTGGTAAAACAACCAATCTTTGAATTCAACATCCTAGAAGTTAGAGCAGCCAATGAACATCAGCCAAAATGTCGTATAGAACCAAATAGAAACAATTGATAATCACATTGAAAGCATAAAAGATGAACAGGATAAAGGTAATAAAAGGGGTAGCCTTATTTCTTATGAATCTGAACAATCGGTGAATAAATATTCCATGGAATTGGCCTGTGCAAAAATTGCGGTCACCAAGATGCTTAAAGGATATAGAACAAAATCACGCAAATCAACACTGGGGCGGATGTCTTCTGCTAGGCTCACCATTAGAAAATGCAAATGATAACAATGGAAGTAGTCTGGGGTGATTACATTGGTATATCGCAGAATTAGCACCCACAACTGTTGGAGGAATTCCTCTTTCCTCTTGTATCTGTCTACTTGGTCTCTATTAGATGTTTTGCGTTTGCTTTCTTTTTAGACTAGGTGGTCTGACATATACACAGTAAAATAAAAAAAAAACACTATCATTTAGTTCTTATTTACAGACACCACTAGCATGCACGAGTCACCACTAAAATAGTAATTTAGGGACATCAAATGTAAACAATCTTATCCTTTGCGCAAAAATACTATTTCAGTGACCCGAATTCTTGATACTAAATTCAGGAAGATTAACTTATGTCTTTAATTTGTATCTTACCTGCTTTTCTAAACTTTCCACTCCATTTACAGCATTACATTTCAGGCAGCATGATAAGCTCTCTTATAAAAGCCAACACAGGTTGGTTGGTCTCACCATTGACTTTAGCAAAAATTGGACAAAGCTAACCACCCAATTGATGACTGAACATAAGTATTTCAAACAAGTTCAACAACTAAATGACACGACCTTGAAAGGTATGTATGTCTACAGAAATTCAAAAAAAGTAATGAAAAATTAAAGAAAAAAAGAGTGTTCAGAGGCAGGAGGGACCAAACCCAATCCCAGTTAGGCAGGCAAGGCTACAAATGAGCTCATTGGTTAAGGTTCAGACACTAACAGCTACAATCCTCAATTCATTCACAACACAAAGAAATATATTTCATTCGATCATATTCACTATGATCATGTCCAGATAACAGAACCTCATACATCAGATTCAAACATAGAGGTCTCACAAAAGAAACAACGCCAATACGAAAGGTAACGACAATCATTATCTACCATATCCAACACACGGTGATAGAAGAAGAATATAATTTGTGCATCATCAAGCAGAAGCAGCAGCTTCTTCCAGCATCTGTTTCACCTTGGTGATATAATCACTCATTGCTTCCTCCGTGGATTTTCCTGAAATACACAAGGTAGGATCAATAAAAACTCTGGTACATAGGAGACCAGTATTTGCAGTTCACAGAGACTATATAAACAACTGTTCTGCAACTCAATATTGAAATCCAATACCTTCAACAGCCTTCCATGCATCCCACTTTGCCCTGTCCCTCATAGCGAAGATACCAGGACGGCCTTAAGATCAGACAGAAAAAATAAGGTACACCTTAAAATAAGTTGACCCAATATAAGCAACTGAATGTCAAGTTATGTCTAGCACCTCTGTATTTCAGAACATGTACATATACAGAATCTCAATAGACTAAACTGCAACACCTAATCAAGGTGAAAGTCTAACGTCCAAAGACAAAGACTTGAGTTTAAAAATACCATTCATTTGTTAAAAACGGTTGTTGCCCACTTTTGTATCTTTAGAAAAATTCCATCTTTGTCTGTTTATTTTAGTATTAGTTTTCTACCCTTCTATAAATGAAGTGATCAGTAAAATACTAACTTGTGTTAACTGGTCCAACTGTGGCTTGCTTGTACAATCCATATATAATAAGCAAGTTCTCGTTGGTGGTAGTATCAGGTAAGGTCTTAGCCTTCTGAGCATACTCCTCAAATTCCTCCTGCAGGACACCAAAAGTGCAAATTTGGTATCAAGCAGTCTGTGAAATGTCAACAAACACATATAACATACTTGCTACAGTGTTATGAACAGAAAGTTAAAAAGAGGTTAATTGTGGCAAGCTACATAAAATGTTAACCAAACAGAAGAAAGAAACCTTACATATAAAGTTCCTTCATGACCTCTGGCTACTTAGGCATACTTCTATGAAATTATGCAGAAGCAGAACCTTAAGATGACATCAATTCCACGAATGACTAAACAACTGAAAAACCAAACAAACAAACCTAACATTTACAATTCCCATGGCACATCTCTGGCTACTTGAAGCTAAGCTTTGTCAAAACTGCTATGTTAATTACTACAAGTGTATCATCCTTTTCAACAACCCAAGTGAAGCTGATCCAACAGGGGGACACTACGGCTCTAAAACCTATCATAAGTAGTTGGGTGATGAAACGTCTTCAAAGATCATTGAAAGTCCGTAAGTTGAGAATGCAGGTCACAAAAAACTTTGGACAGCTCAAGTCAATTTAATCCACTATTGAAAATTTGAGCTCAATTAATATTCAGTAAGTGTATAGTATCTTCATATTTTATTAAAACACAATAACCTAGTAAGAATGAAAAATCTAGTAAGTGTATCAATAAATAAGGAATCAAAGATATTCGTAAATGAATTTGGATTTCACCTTATTGTCTATCTTGAACAAATACTAAATTGAAAAAAACTCCCTCCAAGACCATATCTTTTTTTCCCGACCCTGATCTATCTTCAAAAATTGGACACAGTAACATCCCAAAGAATACAAATGTGTATGCTCACATAGACCTCCAGTTGCAAAACAAAGATGTATAGCAGCTCATCCCATAAACATGTGCACATGTAAAAACACCAGATGCATAAATAGATAACTGAAGCTTAATCAAGTGTTTTTAATCGACACTTGCTACATGTCATTAAAGTCAGCACACCATGTAAGTTGAAGAACCTTCCAATCCCAACAGATTTTCATGGACTCATTAACATATTAAATCAGGAAGATGGAAATTCCAAATGTTAATGGGTTAAACGAAAGATCCCAAATGTGTAAACTTTGTATTTTGGTGAGGGTCATTTCCTCAATGAATTTATTGAAAGCTGTAAGCATTATCCCCCTTTCGAAGAATTATGCCCTTAAGAGAAGCGAGCTTCCCCAGAAACAAACACACCAAAAAAACGAATAACCAGATGATATAGTGATAATGAACCAAAAAAGAATATATTGAACGTCATTTCTCAACCATGAGACAGGTAATGTAAGGTAAAACTGTAAAAGAAATCACTCTGTTGGTCAATGATAAGGCATATTCAAGATTGGGAAGATGCAACTCAAAGATTCCCAGAGCAGAGACAGTTTGACTATGATGAGACTGGATATGGCGACAAAAGGTCGGATAAGAATGCATAGAGCCAAAAATGTCACACAATAATAGTACCAAGCATGCATATACACGGGGTAGGTTCAAATCAAGTTTGAACTTAACTTGATATGGTGCTTGCATTCTTTCAATTCTACGGCTGGAATATGTGAGTTTCCCATGCTTTGTCATGATTGCTAAATTTGAGTTCAATTAGAGGCTATCACAACACTACATTGAATTTTCAAGCTCATTTCAAGTCATTCATCTAATTCTATAAGTCATAGGGCTAAAGGAATCAAATCCAAATCATATTTGGCACCCAACATATGCATCACCTATGCTTCAAATCCAATAGGGGGCTTGAAGTAATAATCCCCAATGAAGTTACCTAATGTGGGCAAATTGATCCTGCCCCAGTACATATATACACAGATACATACACATATACAAATCAGTATATGTACAGGCGACAAAAATGCAAGATGGTCAAAAGATCTAACAAATGCCATTACAGAACACTGATCAACATAAGAACATATCTGAACAACATATTCCCAAATGGATTCTTTAAAAAAAAATAACAACCACCCACCGACATAAGATTTCGCCAAATACTCAACTACAATCACCATCCAAATCAAACCCAAAACTGAAGACCATTGTCTGAGTAATTCACCCAGAAAAGACGACTCTTTTCTTAGTAATCAACCCAGATCTGAACTGGGTCTAGTGCAACCAACAATCTCAAACAAAAAGAATGACAAAACTACTCCATCTATATAAATCCAAAGCCACCAAAGATAAGCATGCACAACATAAGAAGAGTTCCAAATAAAACAAAGATTCAGGAAATTAAATGCAATTTGTTCCAGTGATTTTGCAAAGAAATTCTGGATACCTTCAATGCCATTTTCTTTTGTATTTCTGTGAATTCTGAAACGGGCTCTGATCTTCAATGCCAAACTGTATGTACCACACGCAATTACTGGTAAGGACGTGATGCGGAAGTGATGCCAGTTAATAAAGGACAGATTTGTAGAGAGAAATTTTTAATCGGTGTACACGCAAGTATATTCCCTTTGATACTGTACAGGTGTGAGTAGATAGAGAGCAGATAGAAGTTACGTTCTTTTTTTTTTTTTTTGCTCTCACACCCCTGACATTTGATTTTATTACACGGACACCCCTCACATATTAAAAATGACACTGAAACCCCTTGACATTTGAACCTTGTAACATCTACAACCCTCCAACTAACAGACGTTCAAATAATTCATGGCCAAAGTTGATTTCATCAATAATAATTCTTGAAATACCAAAAATATCCTCAAAATATTTATTCTTCTTACCTTAAAAATTTATCTCATCTCTCATTTATCATTTCTATATTTTATATTTCATATATAAACTTAAATTTTCCAAATTAAATGATGAATTTCATAATTTATCTAATTAATAAGTTAAATTTTAGAATTTTTTGTTTATTAAACAATATCGTAATGTAAATTCTATTTATTAATCCATTTGCCCCCAAATCAATCATTAACCATCGCAGTTATTGTTTAATGTAAATTTCATTTTATCAATCCACTTGCCCCAAAATCCATCATTTATATCATCACAGTTAACCACCACCCTCCGTCTCCACACCACGGAAACCACCATCATACTTCTCCGAAAATCACCACCATCGCTTTCTCCTCCATATCTCTCTATCTCTCTCAGAGAATCATTGCCCAGTAAAGGAGTAACCTCATCACCGGTCCACCACCTCTATCTTCATTTTTACCTCCACAACCACACAACACACACACAACCACTACAATCCAACAACCTCACCACATTCTTCTCATCCACCTTCATTTCCACCTCTTCAACCACACCACACACACAACTCAACCACCACCACTATCAAAATCAAACCTTAAATCCCCCTAAATTGAACAACAAACACATTGTCGACTTCCTCAGGAGTGGTGGAAGATTTTTTAAGCTTCATATCCTTTCGATTTCTCAGATCTACAAATCAAATTCGACTTCCTCAGATTTGTGAATCGAATTCAGCTTCCTCAAATCTGCGAAACGAATTCGGCTTCCTCAAATTTATACTTCACCTTTCTCTTTCTCTCTCTCTTGACGTTCTGTGCTTGATTGAGGAATTGAGTTTGTGGGTGGGTTAATGTTTTGGTTGGGGGTGACTGTTGAAGGGCGCTGTAGTGAGGGGGTTGGGGCGGTGGTTGATCTATAGGTGTGGAGTTAGAGGTTGTGGTTGTATTCATGGGTCATGAGTGGATAAGGAGATTTATTGCGTTGCAGTGGTGGGGAGGGGGGCTGGCAAAGTGAAAAAGGCAGCTAGGGTGGGGTGGGGTTAGGGATGTTAGTGGACCGAAGCGGGGGCGGAGGGTGTAGTCTCCATCCCCGTACCTACTTAAAAAATTCCGTCTATCCCTGATTCACCCCGTTAACGTATCCCCGATTCACCCCGTTAACGCGTATAATTTTCATCCTCATTCTCGTCTACGGATAAATTTTTAATTTTCGCCCCCGTCCCCGCTTCCCCCGTACCCGCCCAAGCCCAAGTCCAAGTCCAAGCCCAAGCCAACATAATTCAAATTCCAAATAAAAAGCCCAAGATCTCCAATACTCTTCTACAATACTGAAATCTCTGAGATGAGCATTCAAACTGTGGTAGTAAGATATATGAAGTATGAGGAAAAAAATGAGAATTTGTACAAGGATGCACAAGGTACTAAATTCAGAATCATATATTGGGAATCAAATTACTATTTTTCCTATTAGCATAGATTTAAGAATCTAGAAAAGACCCACCGTTTCAGAATCAAAAGAATCTTGGAAGAATATGAAGAAAATATATTGATCTTACTACTCACATAAACCCTAGACCCACCAATCACATCATATACTGAACCACTAGTAAACATACAGAGAGATAAAATTGAAGAATAAGCAAAACCCAGATGAAAATTTTGAACTTGAAAAGGGTTAGTTGAAAATTTTGCAGAAATGAAGCTCAAAATGGACAAATTAGTATTGCTAAAGTATCAGCACAAACCTAAACTTGAAACAGCTGATTAAATAATAGAATAAACCAAAACCCATTTGCGAAAAGATACTGATTCTGGAGAACTGGGTTTGTAAAAAAGGGAAAGTGTTTTTCTTTCTTGCTAACTTTGACTGACCTGTAAGGAGCAATCGACACCTGGAAACGATGGAAACCTACAATGAGGGAAAAACAATGGAGGGATGGGATGGGAAAGACGATGGAGACGGGCGATTGATAGAGGTCCTCTAAGTAAGTTAGGGCTTTAATTGAGAGTATAAATATATATATATATATATATAGTTGGTATAGCGGGGACGGGGCAGGGGTAAGGGTAAGTTCATCCCTGTACGGGTTTATACGGGTATCCCTGTATACGTCCATCATCCAATACGTATAGTTTATCCTCGGTTCAAACGGGACCAGTTTGGACGAATACCCGTTTTTTTCTGGTCCACTGCCATCCCTAGGTGGGATGACGTTTAGTGGCAGCGTGGTAGGCTGGTGAAGGGGAATGCCGAAAATTACCAGTTAATTTGAGGGTATAATGGTCTTTCTATTAATGCCGTTAATGACGTCCATTGACTGAGTTCTCAATGTCAATTTTAATATGTGAGGAGTGTCCGTTTAAAAAAATCAAATGTCAGGGGGTGTGAACGATATTTACCCTTTTTTTTTTCTTTTTTAACTTTTTCGAAACAAGTATGGCCTTTTTTTTTTAAGTGTTCCGTCTGACTACTCTCTCCACTCTAAGACCGATCACCGTAATTCAAGTGTAGGAGATATGAGAAATATCAAACTTGAGACCTCTTACTTGCAAGATAACAAACTTGACCACTGGACCATCCTTGAGGATTGTATGACCTTTGTATCAACAAGTTCTCTTAACTTTTTGGCTTAAATGCAAAAAACCCTCTACTTAGGGTTATTTGCACGTAACCTCTTTGGAGTTTTAACCGTTGTACTAAGCCTCCTTTGTAAAATCAGGGAAATTTTGAATTTTTATGAAAAGGGTAAAACGGTAATTAGTCGTTACGGTACGAGTTGAAAACCCAAATTTTTTTAGAACTCGGATGGCGAAAAGGACTTCACTGTTGGATTCATCTCCCGAAATCTAGTTATCCAATCAATTTTCGTTGAATTTCAAGACAGTTGATTTTTTCATGTTTTAGGATGCAATCGGGGTATCACGTGACCAAAATAAACTCCATCGGGTTTTAATTTTGTGAAACATGAAAAATAATTTAAAGTTAATTCAGATAAAATAAATTGAACTTAAAAAGGGACGAGAATTAATTGATTCGGGACAAAATCAGATCAGAAAAAGATAAGACGTGTGCACGCGTTGTAGGCCAAGCATCCAAGGAGTATAAAAATGGGAAAAAAAAATCAGATTTTCTCCCAATTTGGCTGTTGAATTTCGATAGAGAGAGAAATGAAAGAAGATACAGAAAATCAAGGGTTTGTTCATCTTTTTCTTGAGATCTAGTACCAACCTTTGGTCGGATTGCTTTGGGTCAAGAACTAAAGTTCATTTACTCGACGAGAGCTACGTCTATGTATAAAAAATTGGGAATTTTGACGAAGTCTCAAGAACAAGATTTTTAAAAATCAAATTATAAAGCTTGAGTTGAGTTTTCTTGGAGTTCCTACCATTTGTATTATGCTTCAAAAGGTAGGGTTCTTTTCTTACCTAGGTTTATTTTCAACCTAGGATTTCATATGAAATGAGTAGCATGACTTGAGATGAAATCTCTCGTCTAAATGTATTTCTAGTGTAACTAAAGTATGAGAAATGATATAATAATGTATAAAATCAATTTTGCATGAATTAGATTTTGGGTGAAATTACTTATTTTGGTAATTTCATGAGAAATGTGTTGATTGGACATGCTATGTGTTTACACTTATGCCTTAAAGGTATTTGATAAAATGCCTATATTGATTTAGCATGTTGATTTCATTGAAAATGTTATAACTTTTTTTTTTTTTACAGAAACGATATAATGTATTAATTTGAAACATCTGAACAGAGAATTGGTACCAAAGACTCTGGTGCCAGATCCTCCCATACATGAAAATGTTCATAACATCTAGCTATTCTAGCAAGACGGTGCGCAACACCGTTCCTAGTACGTCTAATAGTAGAAGCAGAGAAAGAACTAAAAGTATGTAGGATACACCTAATATTTGCTATAACAGATCCTAAAAGAAAAAAATCCTCCTGAGAATCAACTATCATCTTCATCATAGAGGATGAATCCCTTTCCAGCGTGATCTCCTCACAATCCATCTGCCTAGCGAATAACAGAGCCTCCCTTGCAGCAATACTCTCTGTTGTTTGTGCATCATATAACACACTTATCTTCTTCGACATCCTCGCAATAAATAATCCAGAATCATTCCTTATAACAACACCCACTCCCACTGACCCTTTAGATTTAAATACTGCCCCATCAAAATTTACCTTAAAAGTGCTTGAGCTTGGGGGAGACCACCGAACAGGATCTGAGACACTGTGTTGCATGAAGTCCACCTCCGTAGCCTTCTCAAACTGGTCAAGATAACCCGCTACAGTTTGCACTATCAGCCCCGAGTCATTCTCCAATTTCTGGAACAGAAATTCATTCCTATTCTGCCAAATAAACCAGCAATGCAATAGAAATAGCGAAAGTAACTTGGGTTTTAGTTGTTGAGTGACCTCCCAAAACCATTGTTGGATATGGTTTGCAGATTGCTGAACCCTGTGGCTCAATGAGCTGCCCTCCCAAGATTTCTTTGCCCAAGAAAAGTCCTTTAAAACATGTAAAATAGACTCATTCTCCACTCCGCATACACAGCACACACTATTCGAATGAATCTTCCTATGCTTTATATTCTCATTTGTAGGGAAAGCATCCAATAGCATTCTCCAATCAAAAATCTTAACTTTACTTGGAACTTGCTGATTCCACAGTGATTTCCAATTGCCAACAGTAGTCGATGAGAACTTGCATTAGATATTTCCCGAGAAAATAGA